TGTTCAATACTTAATTCTTATAATCCAAGACATTATCTCATAATCAATTAAACTGTCACATGCCCTGAACTGTAAAATTCATTCTAATTTCAAGGATGTTAAATACAAGAAATTTAAGGTGCTTGATTCATCAGCAAAATTTGACAACAGTAACATTTCCTCTTCTGAAAATGCTTCCCTTAGCTTTCAAGTCATCCTGCTCCTGTGGTTTCTTTCCTGTCCTACTGGCCACTCCTTGTCAACCTTCCTTGCTGATTCCTCTTCTCCTATACTTCTGAATGTTGGAGTGCCTCAGGGCTCAGCCCTCTTTTCTCTCCTCACTCCCTCCCCATAGATAATCTTAATAAGGCTCATGGTTTTGATTTTACCTAAATGCTGATGAAATACCAATTTTTTTTCTCTCCAGCTCCAATCTTTCTTCTGAACTCAAGACATATATAATCAACTTTGACTCAATACCTTCCCTTAGATGTCTAATAGATATCTCAAACTGAACATGTCCAAAACTATATTCCTAGTCTCCCCCACAACCACACACACACACACGCACACACACACACACTAAAATATAAACTCTATGAGGGCCAGAAATTTGTACTATTGATTGACTGATGTGTTTGATTGATAGCACTGAAACAATATCTAGCACATAGGAGGCTCAACGGATTAGCTAAAGTGATCCTTCTAAAACATAAGTAGATCAGCTGATATCTCTGATCTAAATCCTCCAGGAGCTACCCATTTTGCTCAGAATAAGAATCTAAGTTACAAAGGCCCTTCTCAAAATGGCGTCCTGCTACAGCTCTGACCTCATTTTCAACTGATCCCCCATCATTCACACAGCCCTCGGCACTCTGGCCGAGATATTCCTCACCAAGCAAGGCAATCCTGCCCCAGGGCCTTTACACTCACTGTACTCTCTTCTCAGATTATTCTTTCTCCATGTCATATGACTTTTGCCTTTATCTGCTTCAAGTCTGTTCACAAATGACACCTCAGTGTGGACCGACCTCATCACCCCATTTAAAATTGCAACCCCCAACCCAGTCCCATGTTCCCAATCCCTTTTACACATTGCTAGGTTTATTTTCCTCACAGTGTGATTCATCTAACATACTATATGATTTACTTATTCATAACATTTACTTATATGTTTATTACTAGTCTTGACCACTAAAATATAAGCTCCCTGAGGGCTTAGAGTTCATCCGTATTGTTGGCTGATTTGTTTATTTGACAGCACCTGAATAGTGCCTTCCCATAACAGGCTCTTATTCAATATTTATTGAATTAAAATAAAAGGCAGATACCAAGGCCATCTTTTCTTGAAAAGGGGGAACTATTTGCCTTATGTGAAATAAGAAAGAACAAAAATCTCATTGTCTGGGAGAGTTTGAGGCAATGTTGGCAGTGGGGTGATCTGCTGCTGCTGTTCCTTCTCCTCTCTTAACCTCCTCTAAAGGGGGAAAATCAACACATACAGAAGAGCCAGACATGAAGCAGCGCTGAGCCTGAGCTGGTAGCAAACTGTTGTACTAGGAAAATGGTTGACATTCCGAATCTAGGAAAGAAACTTTGGGTTAGTTGGGGAGATGGGGAGAGGAGACGTTTTCTCTTCTCTTTTCCCTCCACAGCACTGATTTAATGAGTCTCGACAATTACACACAAACACTTGAAGATCAAAAGAAGATTAATTAGTAATGCTATTTAACACCCCTTTCCCCTTTCCCTCCCTCTAAACAGACAATGTAAAGTGTAATCTGAAGAGTCTTAAGCAGACCAACAGTTCTGCTTTAATTAATTAGCTAATAGAAATCAGTTTTCCATTACACTGTCAGTCTCTTTTTGTTTAAAAAGAGATGATCAGACAAACATTCTTTTTATACCCCAAACCACTCCTTAAAGAAATATTTTTTAGGATGCCTTGGCATTTATGATGGGAAAGAAATAAATATTCTTAAAAATCCTAAGATCTTGGAACACTAAAATGAAATATGAATATGTATTCGTATCTTACTAATACTAGCTCTTTTATGTCTGAAAATTTGTTCATAAATTAAAATGAACTTAAGTCAAAAACAATGAATCATCTGAAGCATAATTATATGTGAAGTTTGTAGAATAAAATGAACAATAAAAGAAAAGTAATAAGGTTACATTTAATAGAAGGCGCATATATATATATATATTCCTATTAAAATTAGAGAGAACAAACAAAGCAATTTTGAGCAAATGTCTTTCAAAACTATTTAATAAAAATAAATACTTAATAAAACAGAATGCTGTTTACTAGTATTTAAAAAAATAAACCTGCATATCTGTGTGTATGCATGAACTGTCATCGGGTTGTGTGAGCCCCTTGCCTGACCTCACCCCTTTAACAATGGCTGCACGACCACTCTCGTACTCCTCTAGAGGACAAACTGCTAACAGTCCTAAGATTGTTTAAAATAATTATTTCAAGTTATGTAAATGCTACTAGGTCATCAAAGCTTAAATCTCAATCATTCAATTATTGACGAGAACAAATATAATGAGAGGAGCAGTCCTGCCCTCTCTTTGTAAAAAATATTACAATAGACTCATTAACTTGTTGAATTAATATAAGAGGAGAAATGGGGAAATTAGAGGAGCTGCTTATGAAAATGTCATATGAAACCTTCCATTAGCTATCTCTATAGTGGTAATCATATTGTAATATATAACTGTATCAAATGAACATGTTAAACCTACACAACGTTATATGTCAATTATATCTCCAAAAAATTTTAAATAAAAGAAGAAAAGCAAATCTTCTAAACCACTGGCTAAGACACAGTCTCAGACTGGTGGAAAAGACATGAGTAAAAGCAGAATTGAACAAAACTCACAAAATCCTTTTCTTACAACCAGTCAGCTGTCATTGTGTAAGTAATCAAGATAAACATCAAAGTTAGATACTTGACATGGCTAGAGGAACAAACTGAATACACATGTGTAATTGAAAAATTTAGGAACAATGACCAATATTTGCCCAATCTGAAAAACAGATCTGTTTGGAGCCAATCTTACCTCTGGCCTCAGCATTTTGAGATAAAACCCCTAATTACAAATAGAAGAGCATATTACATAGAAGATTGTCAAAAATGAAGATTATAGCTACCTAATAGATTAGAATGACTCAGAAATTATTCATAGTAAATAGCCAACATTTATAAATTATTGTTATCCTTACCTGTATGTTTTCTTTATTAGTAAGAGGTTTTCCTGAGTCAAATGATTGAAATATCTGTCAATATACATAACATCAACATCAGAAACAAGATCGAGTGTGTTTTTTTTAAATAAAACTGTTAATGTATTCTAAACACATTTTAAATATCATTTTTATTGTAAAAGTATCATATGTTCTAGTCAAAAAAAAGTAAGTATAGTAGAAAGAAAATAAAAATCACATACAAATCAATTTTTTAGGTTGTCAATGTTAATATTTTCTTGTCTTTATTACCAATTTCTTTTTGATGTACTTAAAATTTTTATATACAGATTTGTATTCCTTTCCTCATTACATCATAGTTATTTTCCCAAACCATTAAATTATTTGTAAACCTCAATCTAATAGCTAGGTAATGTTCTATCCTATGAATGTGGCATAATAACCTCTTTCCTATTGTTAGATACCTAAGAAAGCCCTCACCCCACCATTCAGTCCTCTTTAAACAACATTGGTGAGTATTCTGTCTGTATTTCCGATTATCACCTTTGGATAGATTCCTGGAAGCAGAATTACAGGGTCATAAGATAAGAATATATTGAGAAAATTGAAAAGGACTGGCTTAATTTAATTTACACTTTCACCCACGTTATATGAAAATGCCAAGATTACTGCACTTTTAACGGTGCTGTTAACGCTTAAAAAAAATGTGGTCAGTTTTAGGTAAAATTGTATTACTCTTCAGAATGACTCTTTTTTATGGTTCTTTCCCTTTTTAATGAATTATCTATAAATATTTTTAGATATAAATATAATGTTGCACTAGGAAATATTCAATTTATTGGCCACAAGAGATTGTTGTATCATCAGATAGGGTACACTCCTCTCAGTGCAGAAGGCCCTTTCTAAAAGGTGCCCCTTCGTAGATGTCAATACTGATGCCCTGTCCAAAATCCCTTGGGTCACCTGGTAACAACCAGCAGCTTCTGGTGGACAGGCCGCTCACATATGGATGGCATTTTACTTTACCTGTACCTCTTTGCTTGAGGACATTCTGTGGCCACACGGGCATTCAGGAGGAGCCGGAAGTGTAGGGAGTATCCCACACCAATGAGGGACAAGAGATAACTCCAGCCAGTCTTTCTGGGGATTCCAGTTGCCCACATCAGTAACCTCATTAGTGCTCCCTGGAATGGTTTTCCTCCCTTCCCTATATGACTTTCCCATTCCCTCACCATTCTTTCTGGAATCACATCTCAAATATACCACTTGCTCCCAAATCTTTGTCCCAGGGTCTGCTTTTGAAGGACCCCTCAACCAAGATATCGCATATAGCTCTTATTTAAAGAAAGTGTTGGTAATGTTTTAAATTTTTTTCCTTTTCTGAAGATATTCTTTATCTGTTATAAATGCACGGAAAAGTGAGTAAATGAATCCATGGGGAGACCTTCAGTGATATAATTTGAAGAACGTTGATAATGGGACTTCAGATTCGGTGATGATAGCAGAATCTCAATATGAGTATGATGTTAAAAGACAGAATTTTTTTAAAGTTGTGAAAAGTCCAATAATAATCTGTAAGACTTTTTCAGATTCAGCAGTTCATCAAATAACATCATTTCATTCAAAATCATTTTGCTATAATGTTGATGAGAAAAATATATTCCAAGCTGAGATCACTGTGTGGAGTTTGCGTGTTCTCCCCATGAATTTTCTCTGCATAAATTTTCTCCGAGTGCTCTGGGTTCCCCCACATCCCAAAGATGTGCATGTTGGGTTAAACGGCTTGTCTAAATTGTCCCAGTCTGAGCAAGTGTAGGTGTGAGTGAGTGCTCCCTGCAATGAAAGAGCATCCTGTCCAGGGTCCCCACCTGGCACCCTGAGCTTCTAGGATAGGCTCCAGCCACCCGTGACCCTGAACTGCAATAAGCAGATTGAAAAACTATTACCTACTTGTTTTTATTAAACTTTCTTAAATGTATGCCTAACTCACATTATTTTAGTGTTTAATATTTAGAAGTATTTTGGGTCTTTAGAAGTTTAGTGATGTTTGTTTTTGTGACCAGAAATATGCCATAGGAACTTAACTGTTGTTTATATCTATTAGCTGGTTTCATGATACATCATTTCACTTAAAGTTACAATTTCCAAGAACCTACTGATGACTTTAAGTAAGGACTTACTGTATTTCTTTTACAACTGAAATCTAATTCATTAATCCTTTCTTTAAATAACTAGCCTGCAGCCTAATAATGCTGGCACCTATTTTAATTATAAACCCTGAACGCATTTCCTCTTTAATTATACTTTTTAAATTCCCAATTGAAGCTGCAGAACTTCAAATTAACTTTGGGAATACAAAATTTGACAACACAATCCACTGAGAGACAATTCACCCACACTTCTGTGTTATGATAACTGGTTTGTAAAAATTAAATTTGGGACTGACCTGTTAAAATTGGCTTCAGACTGCTTGTTTATTTTGGTGAAAGCAGTGACCACTTGTTTCTCATTCTGGCTTCCCTCTCCTCATCTTCCTAGATCCTAAGTGTGGATGGCCCTAAGGATAGGTCCTGTGACTTCTACTTTTTTCTATCTGCGTCAGTCCCCAGCTGATTTCATCCACTCCCATGATTGTCAATCTCTAGGCTAATGATCCCAAACTTGAAGCCCGAACCTCTCCCCTGAGCTTCAGATCATATATTCTCTGCACTTACCTAAACTACATCTTTACCTGTATGTCTACAAGGGCGCTCCTACTTAACACGTTCCATCCCTGCACGGAACAGTATCCCGCATCTCATTTCATGAAAACGCCTTCCTACCAGTCGCTCATGCTGAACACACTAGTCATCATGCTTGACTTCTTCCTCTTTTACCTCACATCCAAACCACCACCCACAAACACGCAGCTCTACCTTTGCAACACAGCCAGAATTTGACCACTTTGCACTCCTTCCACCACTGTTACCCCAACCATTATCATGTCTCACTCAGATTATTTGCAAAGGACTTCTAACTGATCTTCCTATTTATACTCATGTTCATCCACAGTCTAGTTCTCAGAGAGCAAGTGAAGTGGTCCTTTGACATTTAATTCCTACCCTGTCGTTCCTCTCCTCAGATCTCTGCAAGGTTTCCATCTCATTTAGAGTAAACTCCCATCCAGACCAAGCCCTATGAAGTCCTACAAGATCACAGCTCTGGGGCCTCACCCTTTCTCCTTCTCTTCCTCCTTGTCCAGCCTCGCTTGCCTCCTTGGTTTTCCTCAATCACATCTTGGAGGCATCCCCCTCAGGGCCTGTGCCTTTGCAGCTCCTTCTTTTTGGAAGGTCGTCCTCTCAAATCTTTCACCCTCAAAACTCCCTTATTAGAAAGACTTCTCAAACTACCTGAATAAAACAGCCACCTGTTGCTCTGATCACTCTGTCTCCATAACTCAGCTTGATTGTCTTCATGGCACATCATCAACTGACGTATATTTATGGGCTTAATATGTTTATTGTTTGTCTTTCTCGCTGGACTATCCAATAATAATATGACTGAATCCAGGAAGGCTGTGACAGTATTTATCTTTTTACTGCTCTATCCCCATGCCTGGAATAGTACCTGTATTCTGTAAGCTCTCAATAAATACTTATAGAAATTAAAATATAATTTTAATAAAATGCAAACCATTTACAATAGGGCAAGGCTGTTTGTTAACTGAGATGCAAGCAAGAAAATACTGCTAATTTTACTGAGGTAAGAAATAAGTTAATTCCTACCACAGAAAATTAGCAAACCCAACTGATTCCTCTATAGATAGACAGTACACACACACACACACACACACACACACACACACACACACACACACACACGTATCCTATTGCCTACCGAATGTCCCTCTTAGGATTTTCTGTAGATAACCTCACACTTACCCTATTACAATAAATTGTAATGCTGTAGCACTCATATTGAGAAATAAGCAGCTACATTTTAGGGGAATATGCTGAAGTGATGAATGCATTATGTGTAAATATAATGTCAGTTTATGCAAGAAATTTTCAAGACTTACAGCCTATTCCCCGGCTTCTTTTAGATCCTCCAAATTTGAATCCCACCAGCATGTACCTGTCTGTCAGTCTCATTCCTCACACATACAGTAACCTCCAGGAAACTGACTTGTCATCTCCTTTTATATCCTTTATTGCTGGCCCAGGAGGGTCTGAGCACCTCCCTAAAACAAGATCACCCAGTGATTCCCAGATGACCATGCAACTGAAGTAGAGGAAAATAACAGCTCACTCTGATTTAAATAGAAACACCACCATTCATTTTCAAGAATGCTTCAATCTACGGTTTTCCAAATACAAATTAAAACAATTCCCCAAAGTCAAAAGAGACTAGACAAAATAGAGGAACATTCTCTTCCTACGGAAATCAGAAGAAATTTGAACAACACATGCTTAACTCTTAGATATAAAGCATTTAAATCAAAAACATCCAAATGAAACATGAGGAGACAGTGTTCTGAGTAAGAACATTAACCAGAAATTAGAAGATTAGACTCCAAAGTCTAAGAGGTAGTGGCTGATAAATGTGTCTACTGAGACAGTCCAAGATAACTGTAATATAGAGCCATAATTTCACTGTAAAAATCTACTCCAAGACCACAGTCCCTCCCCCCAAGGCCTCCTTTCTTTCCAGACGAATGAAACCTTGTAAAAGCCTGACGGTAGCTGTAGCCAGGCTTAATAAAGAGGTCTGCAGTACCAGAGTCTTATAAATATACCTCCATGGAAGCTGTCCCTAGATTTTAGGAACACAGCCTTAAAAAGGTAAAGAAATAAATGGCTTCGAATCAAGTTGGCAGGTTTACCTTCACTTTTCCTGTAGTTTTAAAACCAGTGGGTATCAGGGAAGGCATGTTTTTTCCATAGAAGATCTGTGACATCTCATGAAAGGCTTCAGAAAAGAATGTTAAATCTATGAGGACTTCTATCTTTAAAGGAAAGAAAAAAAAAAAGAGAGATTTTAAAATTAAATGATTTGTTTTACTTACAAAGTAAAAATTTTAGAGAAAAATCATCCACTAAAACCAAAATTTCTGCTTAACGTTGGTAATGTGTTATAAATGAATGTTTAGTAAACACGGCTGATGGAGATACCTGTGTATGTGTGTAAGCCAGCTTACATGTGCAATGGAGCAAGAAACTAATAAACAGCAGAGAACAACTATTCAAAACAATGGATGTTTATCAGATGTGGCTACTTCATCAGAGGCAAACACATAAAAACATGATAGGCATAGAAAAGGTAAAAACAATAATTGAATTTATCTTTATGTTCTCATGGCGAACTATGGTTTAAAAGGAAGACAAAACAAAAACACTCCTGATAGTCTCTAACACTGTGAGAAGAGACAAACGAACCAGGAGATAAACTCCACAATGCATCAACATAGAGCTGACTATTCATTTCCGTATCCATAATTAATGGGCACTGTTGATTTTAAAGACATATACTTCACGACATTAATTAATTGGTAACTATACATTGTGCATGGCTTATTTTGAATATAATCCAGCAGGACTTTCGATCAGGAAATTATCGGAAGAAAAGTTCTTGACCAAATTCATTCATTCATTCAATATGTTTATTGAGCACCTCTTATGCACCAAGCCCTCTAGGAATTTATATTCCATCACCATGTATATTTAGCTAAACTTAAGTGATACATCAAAGATATAAACGTTATAAAAAGGGACAGAGATTACTGACAACATTCTATCTTCAAAACTGTGCTCAGGAAGAACTCTGAGGGAAAAACCTTTATGAGAAGATTTGAGATTGATGTGAGGGAGAGAGATATGTGAAAATCTGCTGAGGGGCTCTCGAGTACAAAGGTCACAGGGTACAGGAGCAGTCTAGGGGTCTTGGTGTGCTCAAGGAACAGCCGGTGTGACAGGAGCTTAGGGAGAGAAGGGAAGAGGATCAGGAGGTAGGTGCGAATGGCGACCTGGACAGCTGAGTTGGGGTCTTGGGTGGTAAGAAGTTAGTGGAGAAGAGTTTGAACAGGCCAGGGCCCTAACCTGACTTATGTTTTGAAGACATCTAGTGACTTTTTAGAGAATAGAAAAGGGTGAATTGTGGAAGCAGGGAATGAAATACAAAATTGGATAAATATTGGTAAATAGTGTCTATCCCTTCTCCCCAATGTATAATATTACACTAACACACACACACATACACACACATACACATATACACACTGTATATATATACACATATATACATATATCACACTATATATATATTATAGAAAAAGTAAATTCAATTTAACTTCAACATGTATATTCATCTTATTCTCTCTTTTCCTTTAAGCACTACCTTAGGAATATCTCAAAAGTATATAAATTTTAAAGAAATGAAAAGAAAGTAAGTCAGGGGAAAACAAGATGTGACAATAACATGAAAATAAAATACTTTTTGTCTATTGAGTTGAATACTTTAGTTCTTGCCTACGACACTTTGGGCTCTCATCTCCCTAGTGCCATACATATCAAAGTAGGTGTCAGGGAGTCACATGAGCTCTTTCAGACTTCTCGATGGACATTTTTCTCATTGCCCTTTAGAGGAAACGCTTCCTCATATCTGTTTGTGATTAGTCTCTTCTGGTCTCAAATGTAAGACTACTATACATGGACTACTTGTAACTGTGAAGGTTACTTCTGGTTTCAGTTTCTCATATCAATACGATCATTTGGAAAAGCAATGGTGATAATAATAAACATGTATTTTCAGAATTGACCAGCACTGTGAACACCAACAACCCAGGTGGAAAAAAGAACTACCCATAAATCAACCCTTCACTCACAGACCCAACAGTACTGTTTCCAGGAATGCTGGATATTTTGAGAGTGAAAATCTTTCAAGGTGTTGGCAGTTCTAAAGTGAAGGCAGACAGGTCGATCATAAAGAGGTCTTAAAGCTTTCCACGAAAGACACTAGTGCACTATAGAAACTTAACAGCGTGATCTATTGCTGTTTGATTTATCAAAAAGCATCATTGTTTGCTATTTCCTGGCCATGACTTTTCTCTCTCAGTGAGTGAGAACTCACTGACCCCAATTTACTTCAGAAAGGTCAGGCAAACTCTGCTCACACAGGCTGTCATTCCTTCCTCTGTATGGTGCGTCACTTGCCCTTTTCATTACTTCTATTAAAACCTTAGATGGGTTTTTCAGTCCTACTATATCAATAAGACCCCACTTCCAGCTCACTCTGCTGCTGACACTGCTACCAGATACATCTGATCATGTCTTTCTGATCAAAATTCTATAATTAATTCTCCCTCCCAACCCAAGGCTCCAGAATGGAATCCACAGTTCTTCATGGGCTTTTAAACTACTCTAGTACAAAAACAGTTATCAAGTGCTAACAATTCAATAAAAAAGTCACTTAACCAAAAACCTTGTTCTTTCAGTGCTTCTTCGGATCTCCTTCTGACATATTACTAATAGTCATTGCAAACCTTGTACGCTTGCCTCTTATCACAGATCAGGAAAAAAAACTGTTGCCCAATTCTGACTCCACAGTCTTGTTTCTCCCATGGCTCAGCCTCCACCTTATGTCTCAGTGTGAAATTCAAGATTGGGCCCCTGGTATTTTTCATATCACAGACCTCTGGTATTCTCATGTTATCCTCTCCGACCTCCCTACTCAAAACCTCCACTCCAGCCTAACTGAACCATCCCTACCCCTTAAGCAAGTCAATACTTTCTCACTTCTACGTCTTTCACACTATTATCTGCCAAGGTCGTTCCCTTCTTCCTCTTTTCCTGTTCAGTTAGTTCTATTCTTTTCAAGCCTGAGTCGTTCCTATTTAGTGAAACCTAGAGACCTAAAACCATTTTTCCCTCTTTCAATTCCTGGAGACAGTGCTCATTTGGAAAATGATCAAGTGGCTGGTGTACATATAATCATCTTGGGTCTATGTCCTATTTTTCTTCCCTGTTTTCATGTCCTTATAAACAAGGACCATAGGTTATATTTCTTTGATTAGAGTTACTAACATGGTACTTTTATACAGGAGGTACTCAATAAATGTTGTTTCAGAGGTAAAGCAATTAATATTTACTAAATATCTTCTAGCTGAGTTCCTGCTAAAAACTAAGAAGAGTATGGATAGTAGGCACTTGATAAATGTCTACAGATTTTAAATTCAATTCAATAATTAATTACTATCAGGTAAATGGATTTATTACTCAAGATATTATACAGTACTAAAAGATGAGTATATACAGACCCTAGCCTCAAGAAATTTACAATTTTAGAAGAGAAAGAAAAGATTGTATGCATTTTTTTAAGTATTATTAGAATTCAAAAGCAGGAAAACTCTTAAGAATCCAATAACTCAGAAAGGGTGATCCAGAAATTTTCATGGCTGATAACTTATTTATTCCTGAGTTAAAATATATTATAATAATAGTCAGCACTAGACTTCCTCTTAGGGAAGGTACTGTCTTTACTTAGAAACAGAAAGCAATGGACTCTTTGGATCTGAAAACACAGGCCCAAGGTCAGTGTCTAGATGAGAGAGCAACTTAAAGGGAATCTAATTTTCCCTCATTAGAAAAAGGAGGAGATTTGAGAAAGAAGAAGAGAGGGCATTTCCCAAAAAGAAGAAATAGGGTTAAGCCAGTGGTTTGTTGGAGCCCCCTGACTCTCAATTGCAAGAGCTGACTGTGCACATTTTGTCCCCATTGCACATTCAGCAATGCCCAGTTAGTAGGTGGAAGTTAGTAACTGACAGTATTTACACCACTGAAACTGCAAATGCCACAAAACAGGGCTCTTTTTTTTAGAGTGAGTTGTGAATCACTTACCAGCACACAACTGAAAAGCGTGAGATGTTGGCCGAGAAATATTTTAAGCTCAGAGATGTCAAATATTCTATTTAAAATATTTTTTTTCCTCAACTTCAATTTCCCGGTGTTTCCACTTTTTGGTAAAGTCAAATATAGAAATAAAGGCCTTGGGTCAATGTGTTGTGTGTGTTCATGTGTAAATGAGAGTGTGTGTGTGTGTATGTGTGTGTGTGTGTGCACATTACTGTGTAATATGGAATAGGATTGAATTCCATATTAGAGATGAAGAGATGCAGAACAGGTAGCAAATTTGCTGGATGTTTAGATGATCCACACACAAAATGAATTCAACGAAAGTGGGAGCCTGAGACCACAGGTAACTAGGAAAAGGGGCAGAGAAAAATGAAGTGCTTCAGGTTGCCGCTCCATAAGGGGTTCAAGCCAACTGCTCATGAATTGTAAAGGCAAAGAACATCACCTGATTTCTAGGTTCCAGAATTAATTGTAATTTAGTGTCTCTGCAATAAAAAAATTTAAAAAAAAAACTCTGTATACCATGATAGACATAAAAATCTTTAGCAAAAAAATTCACAGAAACTTCAGAAAAGTGACTCATAAGTCCACGAATATTCAGGAAATCAATCTTTCAGAAGTGGTTATTTCCATGCTGGCTGGTGTTGGGTGAGTCTTGTTACCATGTGTAGATGTTCCTCACTTTACTGTGGCCTGAACGCAAAATGATAACCTTCCTAACTGATTCTTTCTCATACTTTATTATAATGGTGGGCGAATTTTTCTAACATCAGTACAATACCACATTATTATTAGTTTATTATTATTAGGACCAAATTAATTCATGACAATATCTTTAACAGTTCAAAAATATCAGATGTCTTAAAAGCTTCTTACATACCTTGAGGATTCTTGCATCTAGATTTCTAACTAGGTCTTGGCAAATTCCAGAAACAAAATATTGGTATAATGCAAGGAGAGGCAGAATCTGCCAACAGAGAAACACTGTATTTTAAAACCTATGTTATCAAGTTAATAACATAATAATAAAATTTAGCCAAATAATATAAAAGATGTTATGCAAAATAGTGATTGAATTTCCATGCTAGGAGACGAGACAGTTTGGTATAAGAGAAATGATCTGCCTAGCATATGCTTCCTAATTTTACCAGAACTTTAAAGTGCTATCAGGGACTTAAAGTTCCATACAGATGTCACTTGGTACCAAAACCCTAGGTTTCACATCTTTTAGAGTTAAAGAATGAAAACGTAATTATTTATCTTCCTTAAACAAAATTAATTCAATATATATGTATGAATCACTGAGGCCTATGGAAACATTCTAGCAAATGAGCTATCAAATAAATGCAAAATTTAAAGCAAAGGAACCCATATCCATGTCCCCTGAGAGCTCCTACCTACTCATCTCAATGTCAGTTGCTACTTATCTTCAACTGGAATATCACTATCAGTAAAAACATATTTATAACATGCCAATTATGTATCAGGCACTGTTGAATAAGAACAAAATCTAACAAGTCCCTCCCTTCACAGAGCATATATTCTACTGATTAAAACCCAAGCTTACTCTTCACATAATATTTTTATTTTCATAGAATTAACTCCAAGTTCAACTCTTCTTAAAATCTCATAGCTATCTGTAAAGGATTAAAGACAATCAATATTTCAATTGACCTAGCCACTGTCTAGCTAGAGACATATGTTGAGGGGACAGTTCTGCCTAGACTTCTGAACAACTCCTGATCTCAACTCAAAGCTGAAGCTCATTTCCTACGTCTGGGTCCTGCCCCACTAAAGGGAGATGGAGCAAGAAGGAGAACTGAGATTCCCACTAGTTAGCAAACTATTTCGCATGATTCCACAGCAATGGGTCCCACAGCAAATCGTATATGTGACAGCAGTGTCCTTAGCCACCAGGCTTCTGCTGGAGGGTAGCATAATACAAAATGGAAACCATTTACATTCTGTAACTTCAGCTAAGGAGATTCTAATTGTCAGTCAACTGGCAGCCACTAATAGAAGCAGCTTTTTAAAAGGATTAGAACTTTAAAAAATTTAAAAAACAAAAAGGAGAACTGACCTTAAATGATTTTAAACATAATACGTTTTTCTGCAATCATACACTACCAACATAATACAATACCTTTTTCTACAATTAATACGACGCAAGACAGTGAGTTGGCTATTACCTTTGAGATTTTCTTTTCTTTAGTGAGAAATGAAACCACACCATTTTATTGCTGCCAATTGCTCAATTATTCAGAAAAATGTTTTCAATTTCTTAAGCTTCAGAGAGAAAAAAAGGTCTCCTTCCTTTTCTAGTGCAGTGATATGTATTATATATGAATATGACTAGGTGACTAAAGGCTACTCAAGGGATAGAGCTATTTTCTAAATCCAGAAATGAATCCCCTTAACAATGAGAGAAGCACCATTTTGCTATTTTTTTTTCTAATAAACAATTTCTTGCCAAGTCTTCCAAGTGCTAAAAGCATTTATCAACCTCTTCACTTCACTTTATAATCACATGGCTTTATAATTTAACAATCACAGCAGGGAGAAATAAATCTTTTCAATATAAGGAGAGAGAGTAAATTTAGAATGAGAGAATAGAAAACAATATATGAAAAAGAAAGTGTGTATGAAAATTATGAAAGAAAAGGAAAGAAGCAGAAAAAGAGACAGGATAGATACTAAAAAGCAAACATAAGAGGAAACAAGACATGCAAAAGTAAAGGAAATAGCATAAAAAAGGAAAATAGCAAAACTAAGATAAAGGAGGAAAATATAAAATAATCAACAGTTAGAATGTACTAACTTATTTTTAAAATGTAATCAACTTTACATTTGTTTTATATACATATATATCAAATATATATTAATATATCAAATATATATACATAATATATACACAAATATATATACATATATATACAGATATATATACATATAGTGGTTCATTTCCCCACGGGAAAAGAGAGTTGTATTGGGATTCTTTTTAATTTCCTAAGAAAATAATAAGTGTCTGGTTTTTATTTCACAGTTAGAATCTGTTGTTCACTTAGGATGCACCTTTAAAAGAGAAAAGACAAGAGACATGAAGATAAATTTATCTCAATAAAAACCGGTCTCATAGTTTTGGTCTTGATATGTCCTATATGATCTAATGCAGTAAGTTACATGTGTACTAAATTCCTCTGTTTGAGACCAGTGAAACATTCTAATCAATTTCACCAATGTCTTAAGGGGGAAAAAAAAGATAAAATACAGTAAAAAGAGAACAAAATCAAAAAGACATTGCTTTTGGATCCAAAATGCAATGCAAACAACAATGTCAAAGAATCTTAATTAATATATTTCATTTTGAAATACAGATGAGAATCCTTAATATAGAGTTTAAAAGTTAAACAAAGACTGACTAAAAGAACATTAGCAAACTTTGAAAAGTATAAGGTAAGTGGAGCAAAAAATACTGCAGTGACTTAAGATTTGGTGACTTTACAAATTACTTACTATTATATTCTGCTTAACAAAGTGCAGTTCATGTATTATATAATACAGACTTGCGACTACAGAGCAAATGTCAGCCCTGTATCTGTCCGAGAAGAGCTCAATGCCCGGGAGAAGCTGAGTGATCTCATACTGAGCATAGCAACGTTCAGCTTTGGGGTGTGGAAGTGTGGTTCTGAGCAAACCCTGATAATGAAAAAAGGTGAAATAAAGAGCCATAAATTGCATTTGCAACAATGAAACAGAAAGATGAGTACACATATTACTTCCTTAAGTGCTTATCACATGCCTAGCACACTCTATCCTGTAATAAACAGTACTTATCATTAAAATTATTATCATTATAGGTTCCAAATGCTTTTATCCCTCAAGATGGGCCTTTCAAATTCCATGGTAACTGAATACTTCTTATTTTCAGAAGAAATTATCATTACATTAAGTTACCATTGATTGAGGGTCAATTCTGTGTTGGGCACTATTGGTAAGGTCTTTATAAATGCCATCTCATTTAATCCTCATGTAACTTAGCCCTAGAAGGAAGGACTGTTATCTTACAAATGATATTTAATTGAAGCTTAAACAACTTATCTGAGGTCACACAGTTAATGATGGCAGAAAGAAGATTCAAAGTCACATCTATTAAACTCAAAAAACTATGTCCTTTCCGCTATACCAAACTGTAAGTAGAGGAGATAACAACTTATTTCAGAAGTCTAAATTAAGTGAAGGTAATTCTGTACTTTTAACTGAATTAAGTGAAAAGGTAATTTGTTTTAATTTGACCAGTATTTCTTAGGTTTATACGACCAACATTATACTAGACATTGGGAAACCAGATGAACACACAAAATCAAATTTTATGTAGAAATGCTTCTTATGTTATCTTAAATAATTAAAATTTTTTGATGACAAATGCATTATAAAATTATTTAATGTACATATCAGAAAGAATTTTCATTAGATTGCTCATTAAAGTTATAAGGTACTTACTCTAAAATGCTATGCAGTTGTTTCAATTTTTAGTTTCACAAATTTGCTTCAAAATCACAAAGAATTAACAGGTTTTTAAAAATAAATCCCACTACCTAATTTTTTATTTTAAGTGCAGTATTACTTAGAGATTATGCCCACATTAAGCCCATTATTCCTTTTGCATCCTTGCCTCTTCAACCTCTTCCCTTTGAAGCACAAGCAAGAGGTGAATGGAACATAAGAAAATTAAAAAATCTGGCCTTACATTCAGAGCCTTTCCCAAAGATCTTAACTATCCAGATTTCATAAGCTATTAGATTCTTCTGATACACAGAACAAGGGTGTCTGTCCCTCAAGGTAAACAGAACCTTCAGTAGATTGAAAAGGCCCCAGCTACATTCCTGAATCTGAAAATGTATTTCTGTTAAAAATTCCTATCTTCTTCAGTAAAGTCAAACCCAAATCCTATAAAATGCAAATACTCTACGTACTTCCGTAGTCTACAACTTATTTTGTGCTTTCATTATATGGTATACCTTATATCATGCAATTGAGCAAAACTTTATTTAGAGATAATGCAACCATCTGAGTCAAATGGACTGAATTTGCTGCTCACTGATCTTACTGATCTTACTGATGACAGGAGACTCGGTTTCCTTATATGTAAAACTCCTTCCTCAGTCTAAGGGACAAACCGACTCTGCTGGATGTTAAAGATGAAAGTGTCACAGGGGTTCAGCCAGAGAAAGAAAGACTGGCTTATGAAATTTGATCAAGGTTCATGCTTTTCTTGTGCCTATAAGTTTTATAAATATGAAAAACTACTACATTTTTCTTTTACTGACTAACAAATGGTCATGCTACTGTAGAAAGATATACACGAAGTGTTACCTGAAAGAGTAATGCAGACAAAATGCAACAGTTCGTTCTCTCCTCAACGTCCAATATCTTAATAAATCTAAATAAGTATAAGAAAAATAAACTGATTCATAAACAATTTTTCAAAAATATTTTAATATAAATATGACTCCAATGCTCATAGATTTCCCAGAATTATGATAGTTTTTGTGATTCTAAAAGTGCTACATACTCATAAAAGATCTAGAACAATGAAAAATATAAAACATAAAATGAAAAGTCACCTACAATCCTACCACCTATACATAATTATTGGTAATATTTTGGCCAATTTCCTTCTAGATTTTTGTCTATATAGTTATACATGCATTCATTAAGACTAGAATTATGCAATACCTATTATTTTACAAATTGTCCATTCATGAACGTGATGAGCTACATCATTATTTTACAGAACTTTAATAGGTTTATCAAATGGATGTACCATAATATAAAACAATTCATCTCCATTTTGGTTTTTTTCAATGCTGAGGTAAACGTTGTACTATCATTCTGAGCACTTGTTCTATCAGTTCTATTGAATAAATCCATAGAAGTACAATTTGAAGGGGAAAAGTGGTATACATTTTTAAAGTTTTTGATGAATATGGTTAAATAATTCTCTCCAAAAGATTGAAACTGTGTTTCCTCACCAGCAGTATACTATGGACACACTGATGATATTAAGTCTCGCTATCAAAGATTCACGTAATATCTCTGAATTTACTACTGTCTCATTTTATGTCCCTTAGAAAAGTTTGAGTTTTCTTTACATGGGTCTCAAAACTCACATTTGCAGCTATAAACCACATTACCTTCTTCTAAGTCTTATTTACATAAAACCAGTCATCTTCACTATATTAAATAACTATATTAATTAATTAACATCTATCTGAGTTCGGCTTTTCTATATGGCTATTAGAGTGTGAGGAGAAGAGTTTTTTCCACTCAGGGAGCCTCCACGAACAGACAAAGCCTCTCTAATATCGTATATCCTGGGGAAGTCAGACTTCTAGTTAAATAACTGGAAAGTGACCTTCTGCTGGTTAAAAATCAGTAAATAGTAACTTCAGAGGCTCAGAGAAGCTGAGGTGCCCAATGGCAGGCATGCTATGGTGGTTCTTTTTTAAGCTGTAAATCTTTTTCGGCTTTTCTATTCTCTGCTGCCAAGCTCTACTAAGTCATAAGCTCACACTTGTGTGAGGATTGTGTGTGTGTGTGTGTGCACATGTGTGCGCACACGCGCGTCCGTGTGTGTGTAAGGAAGAGCTACTTCCCAGGAGTGTAAAAAAAAATAATCAAACTTGACAAATCTTTTAAAAATCTTTACTATTTAATACTTTTTAACTAGATGATTTCTTACTTCCCCTGCACAAAGATGCTAATTTTCTGAAAATAATATGATTATTAACTACTTACTATTTTTTAAAATTTGCAGATTTTTGCCCACTACACCCTATAGGTAAGTTAAAAATGTAACTGGACAGGTAAAGGAAACCTGTACTTTTACCTTCTCCATACTTTTTAAGTTTCTCATATTAATTAAATATTTAAGACATCTGTGAGTGCTAACTAGGTATAAGTCATTGTGATAGACTTTCAGATGTTATGTGTGGCAGGCCGAATAATGGCCACTGAGAGATATCTTTGTCTTAATTCCCTAAACCTATGAACATGTTGGTTTACATGGAAAAAAAAAGAAGAATTTACAGATGTGGTTAAATTAAAGACCTTAAAATGGAGAGGTTATTCTGGATTACTCAGGTGGATTCAATGTAATTACATTGGTCCTTATAAAAGAAAGGCAAGAGGATCACAGAAGGAGATGTGAGGATAAAAACAGGAGATTGGGGGAGGTGGGGAGAGACAGAAAGATGATAGGCAGTTGGTCTTGAAGACAGTAGATGACCATTGAACCAATGAATGCAGGAGGCCTCAAGAAGCTGAACAAGACAAGAAAATATTCTCCCCTAGAGCCTCAGCGGGGGAGCACAGACCTTCCAACACATTCGTTTTAGGATGTAAGACAGTAAGTCTTTGTTGTTTTAAGCCACTAAATTGGTGGTAATTTGTCACAGCAGCAGTAGGAAGTAGTTACAGTATGTGTTATAGCCTAAATTATGTGCCATCTGCCCCCCGCCCCGCCCCACACACAAACACCAAAATCACATGTTGAAGTCCTAATCCCCAGTGACCTCAGAATGTGACTCTACTTAGAGATAAGGTCTTTAAAGAGGTAATTAAGTTAAAATGAGGTCATTAAGGTGGGCTGGAATCTGATGTGACTGGTGTTCTCATAAGAGGAGAACATTAGGACACAGTCGTGTGAGGACACGGCAAGAAGACAACCATCCAAAGAGAGGAGGAAAGAGACCTCAGAAGAAACCAACCCTGCCAACACCTTGAACTCGAACTTCTAGCGTCCAGAATTGTGAGAAATATAGTTCTGTTGTTTAAGCCACCCAGTCTGTGGTACTTTGTTATGACAGCCCTAGCAAACTAATATAGTATGTCATGTGACTCTCATCACCATGGTTTAATGATGAAGACACTGAGGCTCAGAAGGAATAAATAACTTGCTGAGGGGCACAGAGTTTAGTAGGAGGCTCTTGGGATAGAATTAGGCCCAAGTTGCCCTGCTTCCTCACTACTCTGGTTCCCATACCAATTGTTCATTCAACCATTCATTCAACAAGTAGTCACTGAATGCCACCTTCATGCAAGGCACTTAGGCTACAATGGTATACAAAGCAAAGACCTTTGCCCATGTGGTGCTCATATTCTGGGGGATGGGAGATATTTAGAAAGAGGAGAGGATCACAAACAATAAACATCACAAATAAGTAAATGGTATAACCCTCTATGATTTGGACATAGCTAGAAGAATCCAGGGCGTGTGAAACATGCCTCTACATGGCACAGGTGGGTACCCCACAAAGGGAAGCTATTAGCTATTACTCAGATCATTCCATTGTCATACTCACTGGGCTATCTTTGCTGATATGATTGCTCCTTGTAAACATCCCCAAATGCCAACTTTTGACAGAAATTCCTCACTGTAGTCTTTGGAACCTGGAGGTGAATAGCTGTCAGTGGCACTGTCGAGTGAGGGGCACAACTCTTTCCATGTATGTAGCACATCTTGCTTCTTGAATAAGTCATCAAGAGCTTGACACCAACACTTAAAAGCAGCCCTAAAACCGAAACAGAGCATCAGACAGCACATTCTCTGAGACCTATGCCATTAAATCTTTTCAAAAGGCAAAGCAAATTTACTTAAGAAACATTTTAATTAAAATCTATAGCATTTATGCATTGCTCATAACCATTTTTCTCAGGTAGCATTTGATGAATAAAATGTAGCAATGTAATATTATTGAAGAACTAAAATTTCAGAAAGACAGTATTTTTCACGATCATTTAAAAATTTTTTCAAAAAAATCAATAGTTTTCCCTCATTCTAAAGACTCTAAAAAATCTACCTTCTCTTTTCTGCGAAGATGAGAAGACTTCCAAGTTCATGCAACGCCTGAACTTTAAGACTTCTTTGATTGCTGGCTTGGAGAACATCTGTATTTCAGTCAAGTAAAAGAACAAATATCAGTTTCTGGAAAATATCTCCTTTGTATTTTCAAAAATATTTGAAACTGCATTATTCCTTAACTGTGTACTTGCAAACTATTAGTGCCTTCAAATGTCACACAATATACATGCAGACACGGAGCAAAGGATGCTCTACTTGGATACAGTGGAGTAGAGACTGGGTCTAACAGGTAAGAAACGCAAAGACAGTGTAATAGGAGTCAGGGAGGTGGAAACAGTTGAGAAGAGAAATGCAGAAATGTGTGCAAGGGAGAGAGGGCTAGGTACATGTGAAAATGACATGTGCAGCTGGCCATGGTTTTCCTGGGAGGGAGAAGGACACAGGTAAGGTTACAGAGGCGTCTGAATGCCTTGTGGAAAAACGTGTTCATTATTCCATAATGAATGAGAAGCCCCGAAGGTTTTTGAGCAGGGATCTGACAAGATCACAGCATATCAGTTTACGCCTTTTACCCAAAAAGCATATCTTTAATATCACCTTATTTTTTTTTTTTTGATAGAGAGGGTTCTGAAGAACTTATACACTCAAGAATGTGTAGCCAAAAACCCAAGCAACATGGCAATTGTTTTTAATGAGGACAATACTGTCTCTTAGAGGGTGTTTTAGAAATCTGAGGAAAGGTTTCATCACAAAGAGGCATCTCCTGGTATTACAAAGGTGAAGACCAGAGAAACTGGATGGGCTGTAATGCACAGAACCTTGCCCTACCCTGAAGAAAAAGGCGTTAAATCTATTTATAATTATCTAACATCTGTACTTCATTTAACACATAAAAAGTGTATATTTGCATGTTTTCAGACTGCTCTAAATTTTCTAGAAATGCCACCACTCACTGTAGTACGCTGTTTTGTTTAGCACTTTACCTAAATTTATTTGTCATTTTAGAAAATCACATCACCAAAATTAACAGTGCTAATACTACGTGCCACCAACATAACACACCAGAACCACTTTGCATTCATAGCTGTCACAGTCATGGTAGTTCTTCGTACAGGATATGAGCATCTGATTGCTTCACTGTACCTTCCACTGCTTGAGTACTTACACACCAATAATAGATTCTTTTATTTTGTTTTATTATTATCTTTTATTTTATACTTAGAGCATCATATTGATTTTTTAAAAATAATATCTATAGGAAGAATATATTCAATATGAATTTTATTTCAGGGAGTAAAAGAGAAATTACAAAACATCTGTTATTTCAAGAAAAGAGGGGGAATGTTGGGTTTACAACATGGCTTGAGTATGTACTGCTGAATTTGTAAAAGCAATATAAAGTGGAATGACAAGGAAAATGAAATCAGCTAGGGCACAACAAAAGAACTTAAGAGTGGAACTTAAGAGTGGCCACATCCCAGAGAGATTAAAGGAGAATTGACAGGAAGGTGGCCTTGAATCTCACAATGGTGACAGCCTGGCTGGGACAGTAGTCTCGACATTACAATGTCACTGCCTGTAAGGGTATGATGAATAGGTTCTCTGTTCAGGCTCTAATATCCAACTTTTAAAGAAAATATTTCAAGACCAAATGTAATTCTCAGCATGAATGCAGATAATAGTATTGAAAATGAATACATAATAAATAAATCTTACCAATAGTTTCATAGTAAGAAGAAATTACTAGTCCAAGTTGTGAATGTGGAAGTTTGCTTTTCTCCACTGAACTAAAAACTCTGAAATGTTCCTGAGAAAGATCAGGGGGTGTGGGCATATGCATCTCTTCTATCCCCAGGCAAAATTCCACCTTTCCAGTAGAAATTTTTGAATTGTTTATTCCTCCTTTGTCTCCTAAATTCATGGGGAAAAAAATGAAAAAATCCTTAGAATGGAAGAAGAAAGGAAGTTGATGGCGAGGAAAAAGGCAGGAGAAAAGGAACGGAAGCTGAAGGGGAAAAGGCTTTGTATATATCTGAGACTTATTTGCTATTTGAGGGATAGTGTTTCCTTAAACTTAGCATCTAAAATCATTTCTGAAGAGACTAGGTATATGTGAATGAGCTCTATACTGAAGTTATTTTTAAAAAGAACACTACTCAGTGTTCCAGAATATAAATGTTGAGATAATACTTTGCTTCTCCTGGGGATTGGTAGAAGTTACACCATTTGGGTTTGTCCTTTTTAAAGAGCTTCCAACCATAAGTTATTAGTTTGCCTCTGGGGCAGAGACCTCTGGGAAAGAAGCAACACATAGATAGTTCTGACCTGAGCTGGGGAAAATGGGCAAGAGCTTTCTCTTTATAAGATCAGACAACACACAGGGGAAAAAGAGGGGACATATTCTAGGAAAAGTAGTCAAAGGCTGCAGAGAGAAAGAAGCAATTGTGGCTTTTGAAATCTATAGCCCGAGGATTGGGGATAAACTGCTGAGAATATTTTGGTGTGTATTGCATGCCTTTGAGATGGCTCTCACCCCTGGCGACCCTATGAATGAGTGATGTACACAATGTCTTGGCCTCAACAGCCCTGCTCAGCCCCTGGAAACTCATGCTTCTGGCTTCTTGTATGGAGTCAATCCATCTCATATTTGGTCTTCCTCTTTTCCTGCTGCTGTCTATTTTTCCCGGCATAATTGTCTTTTCCAAAGAACCCTGCCTTCTTGTGACGTGCCCAAAGTAGGACAGCTTCAGTTTTGTCATTTTTGCCTCCAGCAATGTTTCAGGCTTACTTTGCTCTATAGCCCACTTGTTAGTCTTTCTGGTGGCCCAGGGTATCTGTAGTGCTCTCCTCCAACACCATATTTCAGATGAATATTTGATTATATTTCAATATTTCAAATGAATATTTTGGTACCAGGTGAGACTCAGAGTGAATAGGTGTAAACCAATTTTATGTCCTTTTTTTAATTCATGCCTTAAACAATTATTAATGTATGCCATAATTGAAAAAAGTTTAAATATGATATGGAGAGCTAATTTAATATAATGTGAGTTTATGGACAATACGACCAAAAACTGTGGATACGTATCATAACAAGTACTTTTTGGAAGAAGCAGCAACAACAAATACAGACAAATATACATATGTATATAGATACATAGATACATTAAAACATACACATAAAACTTTAGCTAGTGGTCGTAAAAAAAATTTAGAAATCTTTCAGATTTCTAAAAGATTAGTTCAGTGGATATTAGCATCTTAGGTATAAGTTTAAATCTATTTTTAATAACTTTAAAATATAATTAAGTTTATTTATTTGTAAGCTTATTTTTATTATTCTGATAAATTTCAACAGCAAGAATTATAAACATAAATTAGGATTCAATAAATTTTAAATAACCTAACTATAGATAAATTTGAATATACTCTTCTCTGAGGTTACCACTTAATCATTCAAGGCTGTGTTCTGATTGAGCTGTGTTTGACAAATCAATAGATGTTGAGAAAGGAAGAAATAAATTAATGTAATGTAACCAATGATAATGAACATCATGTTTTGAGCTAAAAAAAACTCTAAAAAGATCAAAATCCATGGTATTAATAAGAAATCTTATTGATGCTTATATTAGTATGCATTCATTTCTTCGATAGTGATAAAGTAGTGTTTTTGTAAAAGGTTCTAGTTACTTCAGTATGAATCAATCCATCTACTAATAAAAATTAAATAAGACTATAGCACCATACTTGCAAAGAAAACAGTAAGAACAAAGATGTACAAAATGAAAAAATTAACAAATATTGTTTTTGTATCTACTCTATACAAGGGAATATAGTAGTTTCACAGGAAGCATAAAAGTGGATGAGCAAGAATCATATAATTTCACTTATATGTGGGATATAAAACTGAAAGCAACAAACAAATATGACAAACAGAGATTCATGGACATGGACAGCGGATTAGTGGGTACCAGAGGGAAGTGAAGGAGGGAGGAGATAAGTAGGGGTGAAGGGGGTCATATTTATATGATGTTAAGAAAATTAACTTTGGGTGGTAAACACGATGCAATATACATATGACGTATTACTGACTTGTACACTTGAAGCCTACATGATTTTATTAACCAATCTCATCCCAATAATTTTAATTAAAAAAAGAAAGAAAGAAGTTGGGGGGCGGGAAGCAGATGAGTGCGGCAGTGCCTTGGTTGGAATAAAGTGTGTGAGAAAGAAGATGTGATCCACTAGGCAAGAAGAAGAAAGTGGAAGGGAGCAGCGAGGGGGCATGTAAGTGGGGAACGGAGGCAGCTATGGCAGAATATGGTAGATCTGCAGGGTGGTTCCCCACCTTAAATAAAGAGTAAGTGATACAGTGTAAGTGTTTTACCTTGTGTCTGTGCAAGAAATAATGAAAGCAACTTTCTGCTGTGTCGGATTGATCTGTTATGGTATTTGGATTTTTCCAATGTCTCTCTAAAACATCTCAAAGTGTCTGTCACGTCCACGGGCACACAGACGAGCTTTTTGGCTTGGCTGTATTCTGAAAAGAAAGGGAAGAGCAACAGTTGGGGATTAAATGCTGCAGCAAGCCAACTAGTAGCAAAAGACTCTAATTCAGAAATTTCTTGGTCCCAAACAAAAGCTGCTAAATTCAAAACCTCCAGGTCTATAGCAGATGTTTCAACGTTCAGATCAATTTTTTTTTCTAGTATATTTTAAAGTACTTTAAAAAAAAAAAAAGAAAGAAAAAACTTAAAAAACTTTTGATTCTCATGAAATACAAAAAATTTTAGATCTTGCCAATTTTCCTTATGAAGCCTCCTCCTTTTTTTTGCTGATCATAAAAGATGAAATAATCTACTTTTTAGCAGCCTCTTCAAAGCAAAGGTACCTTGGAAAAGAGACGAAAGGAAGAAACAAAAAAGAGACAGACAACTGTTCTCTTAAGAGAGGGAAAAGACAATTTTCTAATATTGGAGGGTGCAGAGGAAAGGAAGATGGGGCCATAAAAGGGTGTAAAACTAACAAACAGTCCTGAAAAAATGGCCAGAAAGGGGAGATGGTGGCAGAGAGTTGCTGTGAGGTCCCTGGAGAGGAAGGGACCATCCAGAAATTAGGCTGCAGACCTGCAGCATGCGCCACGAAGCAGGAACATAAGAAAAACGAAATTACAGGCTTCACATTGAATTAACTTCTTCAACAAGTTGAACAGGTCAAATGTCTTCTATAAAATATGAGATCTTGAAAGGAAAGCAACTTGCCAGGGAACGGAGCTGTAAGAGGTTAGGTGGCAAGGCCTTGGCCCTTGAGAGTTTATAGTCTAGCTGCAGAGGTGAAGCAAGCCATCACTTAAGTATTAAAATCACAGTTACAGAAAGTGTCCGGTTACACCCTAAAATGCGGGAAAGACAGAGGAGAGAGATCAGACTAGGGAGGAAGGGATGAGTGAGAAAGACTTCATGGGAGAAGAGATATGCCGGCTGTGTCTTAGAGGAAAGGGAAGGTTTGATTAAGAAGAAAGAGGTAAGGGGTTTTAGAAAAAGAATAGCTGAAGTTGACTGAGCACTTACACTAAACCAAGAACTATTCACAGTAAATTATGGTGATAAGTCTCAACAAATCATAAAAACAACTGTAAGAGGTATATATCATTATATCCTCATTTTACAGATGAGGAAAAGAAGCCATACAGAAGTCTGATAGCTTCTCCTGGGTCACAGAACTAGTTTGTGCAAGGAGAGGTATGGCGGCAGGAGTAAGGGTGGGGATTCAGGGCGCAGTGAGATGACATGACCAGTCCTGTTGAACAAAGAAGGGTTTGCCAGGGGCCTGAAGCCCTCGCTGAGTAAGTGGCCTCCACCCTCTTAAATGGGGAGCTGAGCAAGGGTTTTGACCGGGATCCTAACAGAAGAGATTAGTATTTTAGGAAGAGTTAGCCAATAGTTGCACGCACAGCACACTGCAATAGAAAAAGGCTGGTGGCTGAGAGACTGTGAAGACATCGTGTGATCTGAATCTGAGTAAGGTAGTAGCAATGTAAACAAGGGAAGGACACAGGGAACATTCCAATGTTTGAAGTGACAGGAAAGTGGTTATTTGGCTATGCGGCAACATTTTTAAAAAGCGGGGGTGAGGGGTGGTAAAAGTTACCTCTTCCCCATCCTTTTGGGGCCAATGACCTTGATTCCCACCTCACTGGGAAAAAAAAAAAAACTAAAGCAATCCAAAAGGATTTCCCATAGGCCCCAACCACCATATCCATCCAGTCTCCAGCACCAATTCCATCTATGCACTTCAACAACATCACTCCAATAGTTCTCCTCTCTCCAAATCATCAATTTTTCCCTCTGTGGAATCATTGCTGTTTTTCTCCTACCTTTAAAACAATTTAAATTTCATGTTCATCTATATGCTAGTGGCTCCAAAATTTATATCTCTGGCTCCAACTTTTCTGAAGTCCAGACTCATCCACCCAATGATCTACTCTGCTGTGTGCCCATTAGACATCTCGAACTTAACAGGAACCCAACTGATTTCCTAATCTTTCCCCTTAAACCTGCTCCTCCCATACTCTTTCCTCATCTCATTAAAGGATTGTTCCATTTTTCCAATTACTTAGGCCGAAAGCTGGAATCGTCCTTGACTGCTCTTCTAATATGCTCCAAATCAAATTCACAGCAAATCTTACAGGCTCCCCCCTCAGAGATTGGCCAGAGTGCCACCATCTCTCACCAGCTCCCACCTCCACTCCCGCTCCCACTGAGTTCCAAGACCTCATCATCCCTTCTGAGTTACTGCAATTGCCAGTTGCCCTGTTTCCACCCTTGCCACTCTCAACACAGCAACCAGGGGACTCCTTTTAAAAAGTAAGTCATCTCAGGTCACTCCACTGCCCAAGACCCTCCATTGGCTTCCCCACCACCTAAGGCAAATACCAAAGCCCCAAGAGTGACTTGTAATACCCACCATGAACTGGCTCCCCAGGACCACTCTGACCCCTTCTCTTATGACCCTCCCCTGCGCTCCCTCCCACACCACACATGCTTTCACATCAGGGCCTTGGCATCAGTGGTTCACTGTGGCCCAGAACATTCTTCCTCGGGATATCTTCATGTTTTGCTTCCTCAGCTCCTTAAGATTATTGTTTAACTCAACTTCTCAATGAGTCCTCCTTTGATCACCCTATATAAAATTATAGCACTCTCCCTTTTTCCCTCCCGACTTCTATTCTCTGCAGCAGTCATTATCTTCTGACGTACTATGTGTTTCGCTTGTGTATTGACTGTCTCCCACCACGTGACTGCAAGTCCCATTAGGACAAGGATTTTTGTCCATTTTGTCCACTGCTATAACCCCAGGCCTATAACAATGCCTGTTACATGGTATGTGCTCAATAAATATATGTTAAATGAATGAATGACAACGGTCTTCAAAATTATATAGCTAAGATAAACTTTATTAATAATCACTTCTATAGGCCTCAATCTCAATTGATCCTAACAGCACCTTATAAACTAGTTGGGTTGACATCACTCTCACTTTACAAAGAAGGAAAAGTAAACTTGAGTGGCATTCGATTGTTTTAAGCCCTTATAAGAGATAAGAGAGAGAATCAGTATTTAAGTCCAGTGCTTTTCCCAGAGAATTCCAAAGAGTATCAGATCCTGGTTAATAGGCAATGATCCAAATTTGAGGTGCAGGGACATTTTGAGAACAGGACAGAAGTAAGCCCAAGAAAGGTTAATAAGAGAAGCAGCCCGACTTCCTTGTGACCCCAGGGAGGTTCTGATGGAATTAATAACAAAGGGTTATATTATATGCCCACAGTGATGACATCTTTCAATATATCCTGATTTCTAGAAATCCTGGAGGCTCTAGTCAAACAAGAAACATGGCTGCACTGAGAAAAACATTTGTCTCCCCAGCAAGTTCACTCTTGACACACTCCCCTAATACGCATTTAAGAGAATCAAATACTTAGGCCACAGTAACTCTTATTTACTCCCTGGTAGCTCTCACTCTCCTACCCTACCAATTTCATTCACCTGTCCACTCCGTCCTGTCCCCGCCATCTTGCCCCCTCAAGTCTCCCCTCCTCTGAGTGTGTGCAGTCCTGCATGCCCCTGAGCCAGTGTACGCCCCTCCTCCTCGACCACCGCCACCCTCACACACAACACCCTGGAGATGATAGATTCTTGCTCTGTTTTCCTTGCAAGAATTCATGAGCTTGACTTTTATCTTTTTCTCCTTAGAATGATATCGAGGAAAGAAGCCAACAAAGGAGAAGAGGAAGCTGGAAGCTCTCACATATTAATATTTTGAGACGGTCAGTTAATTTCTCTAGGCCTTCATTTTAAATATCTGTTAAAAGTGGAATGGTAATATTTACCTCCGAAGGTTATTACTTTAACCTGTGTGTGAAGTGTCCAGCACAGTACCTGTCATGGGGTGAGCATTAAATAGATGGAGGCTCAGATTATGACTATTAGTCATATATTTTTAAAATATATATTAACACTTCCCAGTACTAGGCACTATGCTAGGCACTCAGGAGACAAAAGTGAGCAAAACAGACATACTACCTGCTCTCACAGAGTTTACTTTCTAGAATAAAAATCACAAAGGCATGCTGGTTATTAGGGTTGATAAATATAGAAAGAAGGAAAGATGTTTGCCATCTTTAAAATATGGGATCTAGATAAAATCATACTTTTATCTAATATCTACTCATAAATCATTCCTTTCTTTCGAAATTATTTTGCTTTCTATTTTTATTTTTTTCAAGCCCTACTATACCTTTTTTCTTGTGGTCTAATTAGGGTTCTGCTAGTGTTTTTGTGGCTGTGTATGCGAGATAAATGATGCAAAGCAATGAGGCCTTATCCTGACATCTGTCTCAAAGGGGTTCCTGTCTGAAAACTTACATGGAAAATTCAAGAAGCTATTCAAAGCCACTAATAGCCTCAATGGTTTGAAATAGGTGAGAAGAAGATGAGGTGAAAAAAGAGGAAGAGGCGCCGGGGAGGGGGAGAAAGAGGAAAAAAAGAAAAGAATTATTGTCTAATGTAGACGTTAAAACTGAAATGCCAATCACTCCTGAGAGATGGGTCCACCGAGGAAAACTCCCAGGGAGTGATACAAAATTTGTGCTGCTTTCTACCCATCTGGCCACATCAATCCAAATGCCCAGAAGCAATAATAAAACACACCAGCCAGAGGGTTGAAAATTCCAACATACTTGAAGACTGAATAACCCTATCAGAAATTTTAAATACCAGTAGGTCGAAACTCAAGAAAGAGATTCCAGAAAGAATGCAAAAACAGCTACAATAAAAGACATATCCATAGAGTTATCGCCCCTATAAAGTTTAACAAGCAGGCAAGTTACTCATCCATATAAAAAATAATCTATAAAGTGAGGTATTCTCACTTCTCCAAATCCTACAGAGACCTTCTCAAATTACATATGCATTATTAAATAGTTAGAGGGAGAACAGAATGCTTTTAAATAATGAGAACAGCAAATGTTCCTAGGCACTG